GCAAAAAGAAACCCTTGTCAGGATAGCTCTGCTAAGAAATTAAGATAAAAGGTACTTATAATATAAATCACCTGCAGTTTGGTTGAGTTTGCTTATGGTTTGACTCCATTTCATAAACAAGGAATTAAAACTGAACAAAAGTAAACCTGGAGCTTTTTTCCTAATTAAAAAATAAAATAACAACCAGAATATCAGAATATTATCAGACAAAAAGCCTAGTCTATCTCCCCCCCCTCTGCCCCCCAAAAGAGCTATCTTTGACTGCATATTGGTTGTGGTATATTTAAATAGTTGTTTAATAAAATACATCTTTAAGTCAAAGGTTAGGGAGTCATCAGTAGTAGGGCCAGAATAATCCATCGGCTTCAGGGAATGAATGGTTGGGCTCCATCTGACTCTAAGGAGTAATTGCATACAGTATTAATTCCATTCTTCCAGCACATTTATAAACATGAGAACTAGTAGGCAAAAGGGGTGTATAAGTCTTGCATACAACCAAGTCTGAAGGTTCTGTTCCTTAGCTTTCCAAAATCCATGCAGTACTTTAGTCAAGTTCAAGAGGTCCCAGGGAGCGTTTCTCTCTCTCTCTCTCCTCATAACTCCTTTTCAAAATGGCGGCATGACCCACGACAGTCCTCTTTTCTTCAGTCCAAAGAGAAAAGCCAAGTTCATCTCACTGCAAAACCACACGCTGGTTTCAGAGTCAGCTTACGTTCCAGAAATGTTGGGGGGTCAATGAGACGAGCCCAATGGGAAACGTTTCAGCAAACCGGGCCCATTTTCAACCAAGTGGAAATCATTCAAGCTTCCCAGCTCTTTGTAAACATCCACGTAAATGCCATAGAAAACGTTCGTCTGTATTGCATCTCATTTCCAGTTATGCAAGGTTTTACTTGATAAAAGAGGGCTTTTTTTGGAGGTAATTGTCGCTCAGACGCTTCGCGGCGCCCTCTCAAACTCGTGGGTCCTTCTATTTCTCCCTTTCTTATTTTCCTGTAGATGCTTCCACTTGTTTGGGTTCACCTGGGCATTAGCAGGTCTCTGCCGGCGCTGTTTCCGGTCCCGTTTCCACACCTGTTCGCAGAATTCATCCATTGTGTTCAGGTTGGGGTGGTTGATGAGCTGCATGAAGTCTCTGTACCAGACTTTCTGGATGGGAGTCATGCCGTTGGAGGCCTCCTTGGCCTTGGCACCGTCTCCTCCTTCTTCTTCTTTGTGAAGAAGCTCTTCCAGGTGTTCCGTGTCGATGATCTCCAAGGTGACCTTGAGAAGGGTTTGCATGAAGCCGTGCTCCACCGCGTAGCAGAAGTAGAGTCCCGAATCCTTCCGCTGCAAGCTCCGCAGGAGAAGGCCTTGCTCTGTCCGGATCAAGCGGTCGTTTACTTTGATCTGCGGAGGAAGAAAGTAAGTTCCTGTTTAAGCAGGGAACAGAGTGAAACTTTGTTCAGCCATGATGGCTCCTTGGATGAGGCTTTCTATCACTCTGGGCTGTTTCTCAGATCTTTTTGAACAGGAGGAGCAGGAGCAGGAGGAGGAAGAAAGAATGAAAGAGAGGAAGGTGCTCCAACAGTTTGACAAATGAGTGCAGTGTTAGAAACATTTTTTTTCATTTATTCTATACTTTCTGGACATGTTTAAACAATAAACAAACCAAGTTCATTAGTAACATCGCTGAGACGATGCTGTTCTACATAGCATACAGAATAAATGATCAGAAGGATTGAGCTACCTTAAGTAATCCATTGTTACAACATCCATCTTTAATATGGAAAGGAACTTTGAAGACAATAAAAGCACCCATGTCAAACTACAGACAAACAATCCTTATAATAAATGGGTGCCTGTTCCTGCTCTCCTCCCTATTAAGTCAGAGGGGACCTCACGATCAAAGCGATCAGTCCGAGAGACGTCATCTCCACGAGAAGGAAGATGGGCTTGGCTAGCAACCTCCTCCTCCAGGGTCCCCCAAATAGGGCAAATTCCTGGACGATGGACGTCAACTCCCAGAGTTTCCTACTGATCAGTGCTATTGTGGAGAATTCCTTTTCCTCCTCTCTCATCCTTTTATTAACAATGCATAAAAGAAAACCCCACAACGCTACAAAAGAAGGGAGCGAAATGCTCAGAAGTCCTCACATTGGGAAGCTGCTCACACTGCAAAACAGCTTTTCTCTTTCTTTGCATTCCCACTGTTCCATAAGCAAAATTAAATTGGCAAGGAGTCATGTCTACACATTTGAATTAAAGCAGCTACACTGCGTATTTGAATTCATAATTTCATTGTGTTAAGATTTATCAATAGAAAACATGTCATCAATGTTTTCCTTATGGTTCAGATCAAAATCGATGTTCTGTGATCTGTGCTAATTGTTCCCAGCTCGATGCCATCGAGCTGGGAATAGGGGATTACGATGGGATTTCATCTTGAGCCAACAGGGAACGGCTGTGGCTGATGGGAGCGTTGCCCAACACATTAGGAGGATACAGAAAGACGGTCTATTTTTCCCCCACGCTTTAAAAAAACGAATCACTTTGGGAATCTTACAGAATGCGTAGCTATTGCCAAGCAACGAATGAACTATGATGCATCCTTCGTTCAAAATATGGTTTTCTGCCTTGTATAATTATTTCCTTTCTTCTCCCTTCTCCTCCTTCCCCAGCTCAGGTGAAGCTGTCTAGCCTGCAGGGAAGAGGGGCTTTCTCGCTTACAAGGGAGGTGGTGGTGGTGATGATGGCAGCTCCCAGGCTACTCTGCCCTCTCCCTTCTCACTAACCCCCCACCCCGGAATCACGTAAAGCCCGACCGTATTCCGTGGGTAACCATTCTGTGGGGACTGGGGGGTGTGTGTGTGTCACCAGAGACAGGGGCTCAGGGGATTCCCAGCAGAGCCTCCTTTCTCAGTGAAACTTGAAACTTTCCCCTTGAAATGGAACCAATGATTCGGTTTTATTGTTGCCCTCACAGGAGGCAAAAGACAGGCTGGTCTCAGGCTAAACGGAAGTTCCCAGGGGGAGATCGCAATGCGATAAGTGAGGAGGATGATGATGATGGCCGTCGGGACGAAGGGGCTGAGGGACACCTGGGGCACAAGCCCTTACCTCTTCCTTCCTCTCCTCGGTTGGCTTCTGGAACTGCCAGTAGACCAGGGCACGCTGGGACTTTGGGCTGCACTCCAGAAAAGTGCTGCTGTTCTCCACGCCGTAGATGATCTTCTCCTCCAGCCCACCCCCGCTCGGGTTGCCTGCAGGGAGCCGTAAGGGGGGGCATCGTTTAGGCCTGGCTGCAAGAGGGCCGCCTGCATTCACCCTCTGGAGCCCTCTGGGTGGGGGAAGGGGACCCTCTCACCCGGGGGACACGGTTGGGGAACAAGGGCAAAGGCAGCTCTTCCGAAGCAGCGATGCTTGGGAGATTGTCACAATTGCGCACATAAGTGAGCTTGTGGGCACATTTCTTTTTTTAAAAATAAAACTCAGCTCCTGGTGACATCATAGAAAAAACCCGGAGGCCATTGGCCTTTTCCTGGGATGCTTTCCAATTCCTGTCCTAGGAGCTGACTGGATGCCACGGAGGTTGCCACCAAATGAAATCCAGGATTTATGTTCCTTTCCTCATCTCTGGAATAACATAAATCTGGGGTTTATGCTGCTCTCGCCAGCCCTGGGCTGCCACAGCTGCAAACGGAGGGTGTTTGTAGAAGCAGCAATCTCGATTGCTACCCCTCCAAACCAACGAAGAGGGGCCTGCGAGGCCAGGATCCGGGATCAGCTCTAAGCAACCAGTTTGGGTTGCTCGGGCAAGAGTCCTCCGGACATCTGGGTTCTGCCGTAAGGCAGGTGGGGCTCCAGAATTAATTTGACCAGGTCCTGCGCAACCAGCACTCGCCTCATCCTTAAGATTACAGGCTTAACGTTCTTCTGAAGGGAGGCTCAACTTGCTTTCCAAGTGTGGAGTGAACATCCTTTGGAAACAGTGCTGGTCCTGTGCTACATAAGGACAGAGAGCCTGTGTTACTTCCATGGCCCCCGGGGACATTATGGAGCTCCCGCTGCTTCTGCCGACATGCTTTTCATGGCTGAACTTCCACCTGTTCTTATTTCCAAGGACCGCTGAATCTCTTTGTCCCCCATTGCTCCATCTCCCCATGCCCCCCCCAAGGCCTGGACCACCTGTGGGAGGAGAGCCAGGGCAAGGTAGGTGGAAGTCAGAAGGTGCCCTGTAGGGTCTTTTCCGACCAGGAGACTCTCTCTCTTCTTACTAGATGGCAGGAGCTCCAGCTTCCACCCCGGAGGGGCTAAAGCAGAAAGCACTCTGCGCCCGGGGAAGGGCTGGAAGCTGAAGGCATCTAGCAAGACGTGTGAGTTGGCAAAGGGGCTCCTTCAGGAGAATTCTCCTCTCATGGAACAGCCCCAAAGTAACAGGGGCAAGTGAGGCCATTGAGCTGAGCAGGACATTCCTTCTGCTTCACCCCCCCCCCCCGTTTCTTCTTCAGCCTCTCCCCGGTTACTTAGTCGGTCCTGATAGGGATGGCAAACCTGTCCTTCCAAGCCTCCCCCCGAACTCTCCCCACCTGCCCCCTCGCAAGAGGCGCTTGGTCAAAGAGGAGACAAAGCCAGGGGGATCCACCCCAACTCCTGTTGTAACTTGCCCTGCGACAGGCGAGGCCAGCCCCATTCCCTGCCCTCAGAAGGCGGAGGAAGGAGAGCAGTTGACAAGCAGCAGAATCTACGCCGGCCGTTTCCTGCCAGCTGAAGAGCCAACGTGGGTCGTGTTTATCTCAGCCACGGGGAGGAGCTCAGAGCCGGCCTATTTCTGCAGTTTTGGGAAGGCCATTTTGGAAGAGCACGGAGGACTCTTCCCGTTCCTCTCATGCGGCCGCCACCCATCCTCCCTCGGCACCTGGAAGCCTCTGCAGAGACTCCAATCGCTTGGCGTGCCTAACTTTCCATGGGCCGAGACTATTTTCCTGTGACGATTTCTCTTTGGTTGCAGCCGGTTTGCCAGGCACATTGGTGGAGGCATATAAATGAAATAAATAAATAAATAAAAAATCCCAAGATAAAAGAGTCAATCTGTGAACTGCTTCTGGGGCTTCCGCGGAGGGCAGCCTTCCTGCTTGGAGTCCGTGGTAGTGCCTGGGTCCCCTATTACCCTCCCTAATGGGGGTCTCCTGGGGGCTTTCGGGGGGGGGGAGAGCTTGGCAATCAGAACCTTTTCAGCCCCTTTGTTCTGCCGATGAAAGAGAGGCTGCCTCCTGCAGGGAAACCCACTGCCAGGGCTGCCTGTTGGCCGTGGGCCCCTTCGGCAGACAAAGCCTGTGTGTTGCACTGCCGTCCCCAGAAGGAAGCCAGCAAGCAGGCCGGTTGCTTCCACGTTGATGACAGACGAATCCGGCCCATCGCCCTCTCGGAGCCCAAGTGGGGAAACCCTGAGGGAAGGAAGCGGCTAAGCCAAGAGCAGACAGTGAGCAGTGAGGAAGGCAGCCATTCAGATCTCCTCACTCTTTCTTACAGGATCCGAGTGGAATGACTTTTTTTTTAAAGGATTGCATGGAGCAAAACTGATCCATTGGAGAGAGATGGGGGGGGGGCCTTGGAAATTACCAAGGGGGAAAAGAGCTGAAAGGAAGAATTAGACGGAGTGATGTTGAAAGGCAGCTGGCAGTCGACCTTCTGAATCTTTGGCCAGGAGGATCCCTCTGTTCCCGGCTGCTGCAATAGCCCTTTCATCAATATTTTTGCTAGCAGCCTTCTTATCTGCCTCTCTGCCCATCTGCAGATTTTCTGCAAGCTTCTGCACGATTCTCTGCTCCCCTAAACTCAAGTAGAGGCCCTGGGATGGATCAGCAAAACGTGGCAATGGCTTTCTTTGCCCAGCAGAGGGGGCTGCTGCATTTTGCAGGCTTCCTTCTGAACTGGAAGGTAAAGATTTGAGGGGGGGGGAGACCAGGGAGCCTCTCCTATGTCGGGATATCCTCAGGTATAGCAGGTTCATAGCACGGCAGGTAACCATCATAGGCACATATAGGTGAAAAGAAATCAAGTTGGGTGGATTTTCATCAAGCTAAAATGCAAAGGATTTGGGGATGGGTATCATTTCCCCCCTATACATTTCCAGGAGACAGAAGTCAGGTGTCCCATCGGCTCTTTGGCTCCTGCCTTGTCCGGTCTTGTGTGTTGACCTAACAAACTCTAACTCACCGGGATGTTGGAGGTCTGAGCAGTGAGTGAGAGGGTCTCCATTCCGGATGTCCTGTCTTCTGGTGCGCCTACAGGAATCAGGGAGAGAGAGAGAGGAAAAAACCATACTGTTTCATCACATTCATTGCATTTTTAAAAATGAAATTAATATTCTAGACGATCTCTCTTCCAAAACGCAAACTGGTCACAGAATGGAGGCTTAATCGCCCACTGAATGTGTCAAGATATTAAATCAAAGTACACATTCAGGAATCTGATCCAATGCCAAAAAATGGAAGAATGAATTCATCAACATTTGGGAAAAAGATAAATAATTGTCAGTCAGGGCTGTGCTTAAAAACCAAGGCTTCTGATCCAGTATTTCTGGGAATAT